CTATACTATATATATATATATATATATATATATATATACACACACACACACACTTCCCAGTTAGATGTATATTTTAACCTACCTCCCTCCCTCCCTCCTCCAATTCACAAAAAAAAAAGGTGTAAAATCTAAACTGTGATCATGAATAAGAGAGAACTTATCTACTTTGTCAGATGCGCTCGAGTGCCAATAACAAAAAACAGAGAGAATAGTATATTCATAAGTCATAACAGATTGACCAAAGAACATAGAAAACCAGTGGTGATCATTTTATTTAACATTTTCTACTCACAAAAAAATATATGATCTTTATCTGAGGTTTTTCCTTTTTACCAATGAGAAATTTGTCAACAAATATAGGGATATTTATCGCAAATCATCCAAGAGATAAACTATTTAACATTCACACCTATTTCTTTCGATTTAATTTAAAAAATCTCATTAAAGAACACATAATCATGAATTAGAATAATTTTTACGTGTGTTTTGACAATAGGATAAACTTTTAACAGTTGATATTTTACATCAACTAAGGTTGAGGACCTTAAACTTTTCCTTAACCCATCCCAAGCGCCAGTAAAGGAGCTGAGTTGCGTTTGGTAGGCAGCCAGTGTAAACCTTTGCCACATCTTATTCATGTAGTCAACCCCAAATCATCGGGATAAGGTTTGGATGATGATGATATGTCATATGTGTTCCGATAAATTTCTCATAAATATGTAGTTACAATACATCAAAGAAATAAGCATAGGCAATGGCAGAGTGTAAAGGCGTGACCACCAAGCACAGAGATGCAATCCTAGGAGTAGAAAGACATTGAAGATGGTAGAATAACAAAAAAGAACTTAACAAATAAATTGTAAATTATACATTTTTTAGTAATTATATGAACCACAATATTCCAAAAAAACAAGCATAGGTCATGGCAGAGCGTAATGCCGTGACCAAGAGCGTAGAGATGCAATCTTAGGATGAAGAAAGACACTGGAGATGGTAGGACAACAACAAAGAAATAAAAACCTTGCAGATGACTAAACAAAACAATTTCAAATGATAAAGAAGCCTTTATTCAGTCAAAGTTACAAAAAGCTTTCAGCTTTGAAGATAAAAATGAAATAGGTGGAAAAGTGTGTTTACCCCTCACATGGATGGGCTTGGTTTAATTTGAGATTCAAAGTGCAATAGCAGTGAAAATTTCACATGGTATCACAAAAATGCTGGTCAAAGCAGATCACAGAATGTACAAGGAAAGAGATAGACAGAGCTCCTACTCAGAAAGAATTTAGAGAGATCATGCTGAAAATCAAAAGGATAGCTTCTACCATAAAAGCATTTAGAGCTTTAGGACACCTGAAGTCCTGAACAACTCTAAAAAATAACTGAGTTATTTATTAGTAGAGGAGAAACAAGTGATTTTATATTCCTTTTCAAAGTCATGAACGTTTTGGTGGCATTTCTTTGACAAGCGAAGTTACAAAAATCTGTCACTTGTGAATATAGGCGCAGATCAAGCAAGGCATTCTCCCTCATAAATGGGTGGGGGAGAAAAAAGTGCCATGTTCCCAAACAATGATCCACCCAAACGAGTCAATAGAAAAAAAATTGAGTCGCACAATTATGTAACCTGATTTCCTAAATTGTGAGATATTGGCCAGTCCATGGTCACTTGATTTGACTGAAAACTATGCTCTAAAGTATGGGTAAATAGGTCAATGAGAAGCATAATACTTTTTTATTCAATGAGCAGTGGCGGTGGGCATATGTATTTTGGCAGGAATTTCTATTTGCCCAATTTCATGGCGGGTGAGCTCGGGCAAGATTTTGGGAAGTTTTCCAATTTGACATCAATATAATGCTTTGGCAGGACTTTAAGTGATGGAACTAAGCATATATTCATATGTAAGAAAACAACCAGAGGTGGGAAATGTTCAGTATGGGCCTTGGCATGGATGATCTGCAGCCAGAGGGTTCAAGTGTTTCCATGTAACATGACATTCACTAATGTTGTGTTTCTTTCCTTCCCTAAAAATAAAAATAAAAATAAAAGCATTGTACCAGCTTATTTTTTCCATGTGCGGAACCACTCACACCGCATGATGTGGTTAGTGGCTTCCACCATTAGATAATCAATAGAAAATGATTTTCTTTTTTCTTTATTAATATAAAAAAGAAATGAATCAAAGTCAGATTCCTATGAGGCTAATAACGATTTATAAATGAAATTTGTGCTCTAAATATGAAGTGCAGTGACTATGCAAATTTGTTTGTACATCTCACAAAAACTCGCCCATGATAAGTTCTTTCTAGCATGATTTTGCTCGAATACTATCCAACTTACAACCATTTTTTACTAGAATCAATTTCTCATTAAAATTATTCAACCCAATTGAAATACCACATTTATCTCCAATATAGCTTCTCATATAAAAAAAATATCCATATATTGTCTCATCATTTGAATCATTGTATACAATATTTTATTTTCCAGGGTACATTTTTACGTCTACTAGATACTCTATTAGCAAAAAATAAACTCTAAATAATCTAAATCAATATCAGAATTCTTTGAAGATTAAAACAATACATCATTGTATGGTTTCCTCTCTCATACAGAGTGCACTGTCAAGATTAGAATTACATATTAAAATTGGGATTAAAGTTGTATAAATCTTACTCATTTTACTGTTTCAAATTTTAAGGGCATAAATTATTGCAATCATAAAAAATCCTGCTAGTCATTCTGAGACTGCTAAACATATAAACTTGCATAGCATAACAACAATTTGCATCAAAACCAGTATAAACTACAGGCAAACCAAAATCCAATTAGCACAAGATACTATCGAAAACCTAATTGCAAACAAGCCTGAGCTGAACCGTAATTTATGCACCTCTAGCAACAAAAATAATTTATGCACCTCTAGCAACAAAAATAATTTATGCACCTCTAGCAACAAAAATATCACACCAACTGAGTAGTAAGATTAGAATCCACTTACCCCAATCCTCGAAGAAGTACCATTCCTTTCGCTGAATTTCTAATTTAGGAATTTGTCACGATACTAGGCAATTCTAAAACCAACCTTACTCATACCAATTTCATGCCAAAAACCCCCTAGTCTGGGCCCAACCCCTATGGTGAATTTGCACCGTAATACCTTAAATTGTACCAATCTTTTGTAGTTACCTCTCCATGAAATAAGAATAGTGAAACCCTAATTTCTCGTCTGATAACCAGTCCTAATCCTTGTTCGATCTATGCAGAGAGTTCAGGGTGATAAATTGAGAATCTGTGGTAAATTTTGCAGGAAAAAAACCGATTTTTTTTTAAAACAAATTGGGTAAATATGAAAGTATTATATTGTGCCGGATTGCCCGTCGTATTTTTAAGAAAAAGTCTATATTGCCCTTTACTTTCATTTAGACTTTCGGAACTGCCATCTCCTAATATCTTGAATGCGTGAGCACAATTATCGTTAAAACCCCAAGTTCTGATTCGGATGGAACTCCGATAGGACGGATCCAGCTTTAGGGTGGCATAGGTCCCGACCCAGTTCCTGTCTAAAAGTCCTCGTATACTTTTACCTTTTCTATGGGCTTATTTATAATTTTTTTAAGGTTCCCTCTATATCCCCACTATATAAGCTTTTTTATTAATTTTTATTCTATTTTATTTTTTAAATGTTATTTAATCATCAATTCGCACTGATCCGTATTCAATCCGGATTTTCGATCTAGTGCGACACTAGTTTCATTTATGATTTCATAACTGCCATCTCCTAAAGAGTACATGGTTCTTGAATGCGTGGCACAATTATCTCGTTAAAACCCCAATTTCTGATCCGGATAGAAATCGGGTAGAACCGATCCAGCTCTCGAGTGGCATAGGTCTCGACCCAGTTCCTCATTAAAAGCCCTTGTACATTTTGATCTTTTCTCTGGGCTTATTTATATTTTTTTTAAGTCCCCTCTATATCCCCACTATATAGGCCCCTTTATTAATTTTTATTTTTTACATTTTTTTGGATCATCCATTCAGACTGATCCATACCCAATCTAGATCGTCAATCCAATGCCACACAGATTTATAGATGGATAATTGGCTCCACCAATCCGAATTTTGAAATATTGGGCAAAATGATGTCAATAAAAGGGTGAAACTGAGGTGGTCCCTTTTTTTTCTATAATGTTAATGGGCAATTCAAATGATACAAAGGGTGTGGTTTGTATAAGGTTGAGGCTTTGAACAATCAAAGGAAGTTCAAAGGAAGACACGCATTAAAATAGTGTCAAAATATGTTATTTCAGTATTGCAAATCTTTGAGATGGCCTGAAATTTTAGTTTGATCTCTAATTATAAAGGGAGAATACGGAATGAGACCAATTACATTTGATACAAAGTGGTCACAATAATATTGACTATTGGATATGAAATTGGGTATTTGCAATTATTCCATTGATCAAGCTTAAACTTCAAAATAAATTTTTTCGAACTTTGTGAACTATAAAAATTCACATCAAATGGTTGAAAGGAATTGTGATCATCTTGTATTAAAGATAAATTGTCTCATTATATACAATTCCAATTATAAAATTTAAAGCTTCAAAATTAATATAAATCGAGCAGATCTATAAATACTTGATAATTTTGAAAATTGGTAGTCTAGATAATGCATTACAAGATGCACTATTTCCAAAACTTGAAATCCATATTTTCTCACGTTCATACATATTGAGGTCGACATGATTTGAGGATGTTTGAACATCGAAACAACCTCTTATAGTGAAATTTTTAGGTGCATCTTAATTTGATGAGAGCCTCACCCTTATATAAACTTTTTTCTTTGACAAAATATGTTAACATTAGAAAAAAAAATACAATATTTAAAATAGAAAAATCAATACTAGAGTGAGTAAACTGTTCTTAAGTTGGAGATTATCACGGGAGAACATCGTAAGCTAACTCACTAAAATAAAATAAAATATGAATATCTTGTTTGAGATATAAATATTTAAAAGTTCCAATAATAATCATTCTTTCAACATAAAGTAGATCTCTAAATTTTAAAGATAAAAATACGCGTTACCCTGGTGAGCAAGTTTGCACATGTAGAAGCACCCTGTAAAAAAAAATCAACACATCTAAAAAAATGAGATTGCATACAGTGTGATTATTTATCATCGTTATAAAGAAAACACAGTTGCTACTAGCCATTAGATGCAGCATTAGATGTCTTGAGGCATGTCACAAAGTTTAAGATTTTATTTATTTTGAACTACGAGTCCAGTCAATGACACACACAACCACCTGATTTAAAACCTAAGGGAAAAGAGTGACTCATGACCTCTTTGTATTAAAAGTAAATAGTCTCTATATACACATTTCCATAAAAAACATGTACATGTGCATGTAATGCGATGACATTGTTAAAATAATAAATTTAGGAAAAAAAAATTATAAGGTTGCTACCTTATTTAGAGAAGTAACCATCAATTTTATTCGAATGGTGTGGATTTAACGCAAATCTAAGAGACATTTGAGACGTGTCACTTTTTTATACTTCTTAAAATATATATCAAATCTACAAAATCCAATTAAATAGAAAGATTTACATATGACCCCCCCCCCCCCCCATATATTTACTAATACATTATTAAACGAAGGTTAAGGCAGGGCATGGGGTTGAAGGACCTTATGCACTATGAGATAGTGAAAATGTGTGAGTTTTTTAATTTAAACTGCAAAATTGTAATTGGGAATATTTTATAATAAGCAAACTTTAATTGGACTTAAAGCCTAACGATAACATATCGTTCTCTTTAAATTTATTCGTTCTCTTTAAATTAAGAGCAAACTGTAATTGGGCATAGTTTATAAGTTTATATAAAACAAACTGTAATTGGGAATAGAAAATATTGGAAAATGTAATTTATGTATTTTCCCATAAAAAAATAAAATATTGGAAAGATCATTTTTATTTTTTCCCATAAAAAGGTTTTCAATAACCGTGGCTTTTTGTTTGCTTGAATTTTTTAATAGAATGCCAATGGTGTATGAGAGGCTTTTTGGTTGCTTTAATTGTTTAATGGAATTTTAAAACAGTGGAAAATATAATTTCTGTATTTTCCCATAAAAAGGTTTTCAATAGGTTTTTTGTTTGCTTTAATTTTTTAATGGAATTCCAATAGTGTATGCGTGGCTTTTTGGTTACTTGAAGTTTTTAATGGAATTCCAATGGCTGAAATTTTAAATGGAATTCTGATGGCAAAGATTGGTTGCTTGAATGTTTGAATGGAATTCTAATGGCAAATACACCTTTGAATGGTTTTATGAATGTTTGAATGGAACTCTAATGGCAAATAAATCTTTAAATGGTATAGATTGATTTTGAAAAAAAAAAATTAAACCTCAAAGCTGTCGTAAACCACCCAAATGCTCTCAATCTCAAAAAATTGTAACCTGAAAGCCACTTTCTAGGTTTGTAAACCAACCACCCAAATGCTCATGTTTATCATCTCAATATTCAGTTTCATCAAAACCATTTTTTTAGTCCGGTACAAAATAACAATTAATTCAAATCTTTTTAAAATTTTAGCAATTTGTAATTATTTAAATTAAAATTATTAAATACGGCTATTTTTAAATTGAGAATATGGTATTTTTTTTAAAAAATTCTAATATTAATGAATCAATCAAAATTTAAATATTATAATATTATCTAATATTATATAGAATAAAAAAATCACTTCAAATCAATATACCTCTTTATTCTCTTTCAATGTCCTAATATATTTTATCCTTCATTCTATTGACAAGCTTTGTTTGCTGAATAAACTTTTTTTTCAGTTTAATTTCTTAATGTTAGCCTCATAAATTAGATGGAAGATATATAGAAAAATGCTTGACAGGCTTATAGAAAAAAATAAAAAAAAATATCACAACAAAAGTATGTTATTCATTTTTTTGAAAAAACAAAAGCATGTCAGTCCAAAGAATATAATATTAAAAGCATGTGATTCCAAATGAAGAATCGCTTGTTTTTGTTTAATTTAATTTGATTTCTTATATGTTTTTAGATTTTTCTTTGGTTATTTATGTTTTGGATTTACCAAACAATTTTTTTAAAAAATAAAATAAAAAATACATAATCACATCAAAATCATAATTGAATCTCACAAAAAGAGAGAGTAAATCATTACCTTTTCTTTATTTTATCTTGTTGTTATTTTAAATATATTAGCAGGAAGATACTAAAGATTGCTTTTAAGCTTATTTTTTTATACAACATTAATTAATATTATAATATTTTAAATTTGAGTGATTCATTAATATTAATTTTTTTTAAAATAATGAATATCACATTCTCAATCTATTGTAAATTTAAAAGTAGCTACATCTAATAATTTTAATTTAGATAATTTCAACTTTTAGTTTTTGAATGTTAACATCACAAATTAAGTCGAAGTTATATAGAAAAATGCTTGAAAAGCTTATAGAAAAAAAATGAAAAAAAAAAAAAATTCATAATGAATGAATGTTATTCTAGAGCGTGTAATATTAAAAGCATATGATTTCACATAAAGAATCATTTTTTTATGATAAATTTAATTTTGATATCTTATATGTTTTTTGAATCTTTTTGAGTTTTTTTTTGGATTTATCAAACAATATTTATAGAAAAAATAAAAAAATAAATGCATAATCACGCCAAAATCACAATTGAATATCGCCAAAAAAGTAAAGCATTGCCTCTTTGTATTTTTTAATTTTTATTTTTTATTTTGTCATTTTGCTTAATTTCTTAATGGAATTCCGAAGACACCCTTTGTACTCTAGAAACCACAAAGTTATAGACGGGAAATTCTTGGCATATGTTATTGCTTATTTAATTTATACATGCAACGCATGTGATCCTATTAGTAAAGTATATGTGAAACCACTTCTCAAATGTCCAATCCAAATAGATGATTGGGATCGCTCATGATGTCATGCCGAAATATTATTTGATTTTTAATTTTTTTCTATGAAATATTTTTGAACGAAATTTATACTATTTGATTTTTAATTTTTTTCTATGAAATATTTTTGAACGAAATTTGGGATATCCCCTCTTCTTATTGGGGCGCAATTTTTTGTTTATAAACATATTCAAATCGTTTCAGTTTTAAGCTTTGGATTAATGATAAGAGGTGAAGAAAAATAGTTGGATCTTATGATTAGAGGTGAAAAAAAATAGTTTTTTCATGTCATCATGAGGGCTTCCAGCGACCGATTCAACTAGGGAATCGGCATACCCGATTCGGTTCCAGTGAATCGCTCTGTTTTACTTTTAAAAG